TTAATACACAAAATATGTTTTGCTCATAATCTTACGTTTCAAAAATGTGTGTTGTTGCATGAAAAAAATAAATATGAGAGATCATCAACTCGAGAGAATCTCGTCGGGGACATTCGATGAAAAAAAAACTTGAAAGAACCAAAAAGAAGATGACAAAACTTTTTTTATTTTATTGCACACGCATATAGTTAAATATGTATATTTATAGTATAAGACATTTCTTTTTTGGCACGACATTTATCTACTATTGTAAGAATGGTATTATTGGAGTCTCGACCCTCTCTATTCGTGGGGTCCTTATAATAAGTCTTTTATAACCATTAACCATTTATAGGATAGCTTCCTCAATATTTGACTTGTAAATTGTAATCTTGTATAAAAAGATTTTTTTTTTTAATATATACAATGCTAGCCACTATATGGATGCAAGAAAAAGTACCTTCATAATTCATATCACTAAATACATTAAAATAAAAAAGTGTTTGACACTATAGAAAAAATATGGTTCACTAAATAATAATATAACACATGATGAAAAAAAAAAAAAAAAAAAAAAAAAAAAAAAAAAAAAAAAAAAAATATATATAACACATGAAGAGAAAAAAATACCCATCACGACCTCTCCAAATTGCCTTTATTGTAGAATTATGTGACGCTGTCTGTATATGAACGTACGTGTGGATAGTTACCCTACATGTCTTTGAACAATTGTTATCAATATAAATATATACATTTATTGAAATTCAATATATTTACATCGTAGTATCCGATTAAATTTTGAGTAGAACAAAATATTGGACAGTAACGAGTTTCGCCATTTCACATTAAATTAGATTTATAGGACCAAAAATAAAAAAAATATATATTGTATACACATAGTTAAAATATCATCAATATTACTTGAAATGGGTGTTCGGATAAATCTTTCAGTTTCCAGCTAAAACAGTACATGTACTTATGCATCTCAAAGTACATATTTCACATGTCCTTCTGATTTTGATCGATCAGTTTTTTTCCGCTTTACCATAAACTCTTCTTCGTAGTTTGTAGACCATGATCATATAAATTTACTCAAAATTAATGAGCTAGGTTAGAGTAAGATTCAATAATTCATAATTAGTATAACAAGGCGTGTATATATAAATTTTGATTGAATTCATATCCAAAAAAAAAGTTGTCCAACGCGAATATTTTTAACATGGAGGCTCTGCTCATCTGAGGGAGAGGCCGGTAAAACCATCTCAAAAAATGCCAAGAGATGCAGTGGACGGCTGTTGAAAAACGAGGCAAAAAAGGCCGTGGTCGTGGTCGCCGTACGTGGTTAGCTCTTCTGTAGCTAACCGTATCATCTCCTCCTCTCTTCTGATCATTAGCTAATGTTTAGCTCACTTTAGACTAAGTCTCCTTAAATTCCAATATTTTTTAAAAAAATCTTAATCCAATGATCATAGACTTTACTATTTACTTATTTAATTTTAATGCACCAAATTAACCACACAAAAAAAAAACATTTTTAACATATAAACGCAGAAAAAGAAAAAAAATCTAATTATTTTTCTGTTCACTTGCGTTTAAGTATATATGAATACATTTGCAAAGGCGAAAATAAAAATAATTAAAAGAAAAGTCTATTGTTATTATATTGTAAAATTTTAGTGGATAATTGATTAATCAATTCGCCAAAGAGACAATAGTTGACTGGAGAGAAAACATATCATGTGCTTGCATTATGATAAGCTAAAGAGTAAATGATGATCCCAAAAGGATTTTATTCCTGATTATATATATATTCATTTGATTTGTTTATTCATTATTCTTTAATTTGTCCATAATCTCATCTCCATTTTCGTACCAGACAAATTGCTAAGGGTTTAAGTAGCATACAAATATTAGGGGAATCTCTATATTTTTTCCATTAACTAATGCATGCGACTTATTAGGGTGCCAAAAAAAGAGAGGAATACTTGAAGATTACCCAAAATAATAATAATCAAAAGGACATAAAACAAATTAAATTAACATGTTTGAGACAATTTTGGAATCCACTAGACTATAGTAAATTTGTTCGCCGCAGAGAACTCGGTTGTGCTCGATTGCCGGTGAGCATAGAGTAACCAATTCGACCATTAAAGTCGGTTGTGCTCGATTTCTTTGATTTTTTTCGACCCAATATGATTAAAAAAAATGATCCTTTACAAGATAAAAAAGGAATTGTCGACCCAAAAAAACTTATCACGCTCAAGTCATAAATGGATATGTGGTTTGTCGAAGACTAGAGTCGACTTTTGTGGAAAGAGAAATAGTTTGTAGCTTGGTCAAAGAAGTATTTAAACCCTAACTTAGTGTTTAGTGGATTTAGAAGTGTGTCATTCTCCATAACCTTACTCCATTTTAATGATAGAATAATTGGTGTATTATTTGGCTGAAAATTGGACGCAAAAGTCAGAAAATAAATTACAAATGCAACATGCCTGCGGATATGCTAAGTCAAACATCATATTCACCAACACTCTCAATTTTCTTTCACTCTCTTGTCTCTAATGTAATCTCAAACGCATTACACTGTGATTTCTCCTCATAACTAATATAATGACTATGTTTTGACGAGAACAAAAAAAAATTACAAATGGATGTTAACTATTTTTGTCACTGTTCAAGTGCATTTTCTCTTAACTTTTCCAAAAAAAAAAAAAAAAACTCTCCCACACGTTTTACTCTCTCTAGACCTTTTTCAAAATTTTCTCTCTATTGAAATTCTTTTTACATGGAGGGACAATACAATTTTTTAAACCAATATATACTCATAACTTCCCATAACAAAATCGATTTGGTATACTAATTGTGTGGGCGTTAGCCTATCCTTAAACGAACTATAACTATTACTGTGTCATATAGTAAATTGTTATTTTTGATTGGTTTATAAAATGAAAAATCAAATTCAAATGAAAATGTAAACAAAAGTTTATACAATAGAAAGCCTACACGGCTACACGTGTAGTCTTAAACTTGGGTTTGAGACAGAAAAAGGTCCTACAAGGATGAGTCGAGATACGTTATCCACCAAAGTCACAGTGTATCACATGCCTTTGCCTCTGTCCTTCTCCGTTTCTCCAATCGGCTCCACAATTTTCTGATTCCTCTGCTTCGCGTCTATACAACTTACTGTACACTAATGTTGTTCCTATCGTTAGATCTAAAATCTAAGCCGTTAGATGTAACTATTATCAAAAGTAGGCTCAATGTGGGCTCGAAACGGGCTCATCATTTGATAGATGTCCTGATTCCTAAAGTGTTCGGTTTCTAATCCATGTAAAAAATATACAGTAATAGTAATAATATTGCAAAACATAGAAAATTGTTGAAAAATACCATGAATAATTCATATATACTATGATTATACTATGAATATAACAAAAATTTCTCTGAAAACACCACAAAAGATTTGGAAGTCGCTTTGTGTAATTGTAAATCAGTTGAGGTAATTTGTTATATTTTTAAAAAACAAAGTTTTTATTTTGATACTTTGAGATATTATCCTAGTTATATTATGATGGTACGTCAATAATTGATGTTAAATTTTATCAAAGCCGCCTCCGAGACTTGGCTTATATTCCATGAAGATTCCTCTTTTATTATGTTGAAGGCCATGGTTTAGACACCGAATCTTTTCTTACTTTACTTTTTTATGATAATGGACAAATTATTTTAATATAAGATTTCTAAACTAAACAAATAAGTTGACATCAATTCTTCATATTAATATCTAGCTATTGACAATGTATGTCTTTTGGTATTATGAAACTTGAGATTCTTTGATCTCCTACTATTTTAAAATTTTAGACGGAGTAGTAGAAGGTACATGTAATGGTTTTACAAAACATGAATAACTTTATACCAAAAAAGTTAACCGAAATACGGCGTTCAAATTTGGTTTCTGCATGAAATAAAGATTCCAAAGTGTTTGAATAAAATAATACTAATCAAGTTAAATACTCCCTCTGTTTCACAAAGAGTGTCATTCTACACTTCTTCACACATATTAAGAAAACTACTCCCTCCGTTTCATAATATAAGGCGTTTTGGATAAAACTTTTTGTTTCATAATATAAGTCGTTTTCGAGTTTCAATACAAATTATATATTACTTTAATATTTTATGATTATTTATATTATGCAGTCTCTTTTTTGATTGGTTGAACTTTTAAAAAGTAGATCTTCTTAATTGGCGTGCTTTAACCTAAAACGACTTATATTATGAAACGAAGGGAGTACTAAATTTTCTATTATACCCCTTATCAATACACTAAACAAAATTATCTCTCTTATTAATACATTATAGAAATAAGGTTAAAATTAGAATTTTATTCAAAATTTTGCATTGAAAATACAAAACGACACTCTTTGTGAAACAAAAATAAAACCTTAAAACGACACTCTTTGTGAAACGGAGGGAGTAAATTTTAAACGACAGTTATTCGTTTTAGTATGATAAAACAATGTTATATTTACTCATTTTAGATGTTCTAGGTGTAGTAGTAGTTAATTATTGCAAGTCAAGTACTAATTAACATAGACGTTAAAGAGAGCAAAGGTACTAATATTATATTTTTATGCACATAAGTAGATTAAATATATGTATAACCAATAATGGCGCGGAATCATTGTGTGTTTTATGCCTGGCACAATATTATAATGGTTCAGACTTAGTTAAACACTCTTTAGAAGTGATTAAATATTCAGTTGAATGAATAGAAAATTGAATTCTTATGTTTTGTTAACTTTAATCATTGGAACGAATTATTAATTATTTCCTTCCTGATTAAAAAATAGCTTCCTGTTTACATATGAGGTATATATTACAAATATACATACAGTATGTAGTGTCAATTTTTCAAATAACTTTCAATCGCGATATGAAGATTTTAACATATGAGGTAAATTCGTAAATATTTTGTTTTCTTTACAATAATATAGAAACTCTTCTATTTTTGCTAAAGGAATAATAATTGATATACTAAACAACGAAACTAGTAGTGGTGGTACATTAATTATTCATGAAACTTTCTTATTTTTCCAAATAAACTGGTAAAATGTTATCCGCTGAATAGACTCTTTTTCATGTCGAAGAACTTAATGGCTGGAAAAATAATTATGTAGAACAATTAGACGCGACCCACATTTATTACAAATCATAAATGCGAAATATACAAGCTGTGGACAACGTTCTAAATCAAGTTCAACCCCAATTTTTTTAAAAAATACAAATAATAAATATATATATATATTCCATCTATATACGATTTTTCCCAAACAAAAGGATAGCGTGTGGTTCGCAAATCAAACCTTGAAGAAGAAACTAAGCTAATAATTTACTTCAACATCAAAAGAAAATATAAGTTCACACAGTCACATCCTTTTCATAGCTTTTAAAGTATTATCTCTACTTTTATTCTTTTTCATAAGTTACTGAAAAGTGTGACTTTTATATCCATACTTACTATATCAATTATATGTGGGATTAATATTCATTTATAGAAAATTTAATTCACAAAGTAATTACTCAATATCAGCCATGAAATTTTACATATAATTTACATCCATTTTCTATAAAATAGATAAAATTATACTATCATTTTTCTGTTTTCCAGATATATTATATTATATTTTACATAAATTTATTTCACTTTTCAATCACTAATTAGCTTATTCTAAAATACTACCAATGAGCTAGAACCAAAAAAAAAAAATGACTCGAGTAAACTTTAACGTACCAAAACAAAAACCCTTTTGTTTATATTCCCCAAATCCTCCTCTCCTTTTCTCATCTTCACTTGAAACTTTCTCTATCTTTCTCTCTCACCTCATATTATGAACTAAAGATTTCTCTGAAAGCTGACTTCATAAACTTTTTTCTGAAGAAGAAAACACAAAAACGATCGATCTTGAATTGATTCTTTGTATTTTTATTTACATATATAGATGGGGAGACATTCATGTTGTTACAAACAGAAACTGAGGAAAGGACTTTGGTCTCCTGAAGAAGATGAGAAGCTTCTTCGTTACATCACTAAGTATGGTCATGGTTGCTGGAGCTCTGTCCCTAAACAAGCTGGTATGTTTGTTTATCTTTTACTTAATGATCCAAATTCGTTATTGTTTGGTTAATTATAGATTCTTGAAATTAAAATTTTATAAAATCTTTTGTAGGTTTGCAGAGATGTGGAAAAAGCTGTAGATTAAGATGGATAAATTATTTAAGACCAGATTTGAAGAGAGGAGCATTTTCTCAAGATGAAGAAAATCTCATTATTGAACTTCATGCCGTTCTTGGCAATAGGTAAAGAACTTCATACCGTTCTTTCTCATGCATATCTCTGAATATTGTATATATATAACTGTTGTTTTGGTTTGGTTTGGTTCAGGTGGTCTCAGATAGCTGCACAGCTGCCTGGTAGAACCGACAATGAAATCAAGAATCTTTGGAATTCTTGTTTGAAGAAGAAATTGAGGCTGAGAGGAATTGACCCGGTTACACACAAGCTCTTAACCGAAATCGAAACCGGTACAGATGACAAACCCAAACCGGTTGAGAAGAGTCAACAGACCTACCTCGTTGAGACTGATGGCTCCTCTAGTACCACTACTTGCAGTACTAACCAAAACAACAACACTGATCATCTTTATACCGGGAATTTCGGTTTTCAACGGTTAAGTCTAGAAAACGGTTCAAGAATCGCAACCGGTTCCGACCTCGGCATCTGGATTCCCCAAACCGGAAGAAACCATCATCATCATGTCGATGAAACCATCCCTAGTGCAGTGGTGTTACCCGGTTCAATGTTCTCTTCCAGTTTAACCGGTTACAGATCATCCAATCTCGGTTTAATTGAATTGGAAAACTCATTCTCTACCGGGCCAATGATGACAGACCATCAGCAACTTCAAGAGAGTAACTATAACAATTCAACATTCTTTGGAAATGGGAATCTGAATTGGGGAATAACAATGGAGGAAAATCAAAATCCATTCACAATATCGAATAATTCGTTACAGAATCATTCAAATTCGTCGTTATACAGTGATATAAAGTCAGAGACCAATTTTTTTGGTACAGAGGCTACAAATGTTGGTATGTGGCCATGTAACCAGCTCCAGCCTCAGCAACATGCATATGGCCATATATAAATCTTCTTGTATATTTTAAGGTGTGTAAATCTTTTATTTCTTTTCTTCTTTTTTTCTTCTCAAATATGGACTTTTTTTTTAAATGGTTTGTGTATATAGTTTGTGTTATATATTATTTAATTTAACAGTATTGGTTTTTACATTTTTTTTTATATTCGATGTACTTTGTGAAGCACAGATTTATGGACTCTGGGATTTTGTTGTTCTATTGTTGATGGATTAATGACATTTGTTTCTTATTTTTTGTTCATTTTATATACATTTTACATCAAAATTTATTAAACATATATATAAAGACTATATATAAGAGAATGTTGTTTAAAAAATTATAACCCTTTTATTTTAACAAATGAAGTTTTGGACTTGTTAGTTTCTAATACCAAGATATATTTAGTGACATCTAACTAATTTTATTTTTATTTTATCATATAGTTCCTCTCTTTATACTCCTCCTGTTTATTTTTTTATTTTTTGACAGCTTATACTCCTCCTGTTTTGATATTTTCACATAAATTTTAAAAAACTAAAATGAATATTCAATTTTTTACAATACATTAAATAAATTGAGACTTTAAATTTTATCTTATTTTATATTTTTATTAGTTTTTACCATAATAAAATGAATTAATTTAAAGATCCGAACCGTAGAAAATATATTCTAAATCGATAAAGGAAGAAATAACACTTAATCAAAATAGCATAATATACTTAACACTAAAAATCTCTACATGAATTACAAGGATCAACTCGGTACGCACTGCAATAAGTTTATGGGTTTAGTTTCGTACATTCATTCGGACTGGATACCAGAGTATTTAATATGGTTTCTTCTCAAGTGTCACTCGAATTATTTCCGTAGGACATCTAATCTTTGATAATTTTTTAATAATTTCTCTATTAAATTTACACACTACGAATGTACTACGAAAAAAATAGCTCATACTCTTACATTTGCGCCTTTGATATGTGGATAAGCAAATTGTGTTTGTGTAACAAAATGGTTACATGAGATTGTCAAAAAAAAAAAAAATGGTTACATGCTTTGTTTGATATCAATAAATTAACTAGAGAGGGAGATATATCCTTGTCAATGGTGGAATGATATACATATATGTTTTGTTAAGATATAAAAAAATTAAAGAGATTTGCCCAAAAAATAAAAATAAAAACAAAGAGGATAAAGTTAATCGTTCTATTCATGTTTGTGCAAGATTTCAAAATACACTAGTATAAATTAGTGTATATGTCGACGATAATTAAAGTGTAGAATTCAACGAATTAATGAATAAACAAAGGAAAGTCGACAATAATTTTCTCTGAGATTAATATTGTCAATTCAGATTGAATAATATATTATGTTCTTCTTAACAACTTTTTTATATATTGATAGACAAAGCATTTATTCGATTGACTATTGTAACATTTTTTAGGTGAAGCTTCTAAAAAAAGGCTAGTGTGTATCTTTATATAGGGACAACTTTATTACTTTATCTTTTTTTTTCTCACTTTAATTTTAGTTTCATTTCAATGAACTTAAGGAACAGTTTTTAACTTTGGTTGTCTTTTTTCAATTTTAAAATATTAGACATTATCATTCGTCTTTTTTAATACGGCAGCTTTTAGTTTCTACTTCAACTTTAGTTTCCTCTTGGATATGGTCAAGTTCTTTGCTATTTTTAGTTCACTTTTGATGAACATTAAACTAAAGCTGCATTCGTAATTAAGCATAGCCCTAGATATAATATGTTTGATATTTATAGTGGAAGCCCACTAAAGATTACATGGGCCTTTAGTCACGGGACTATAAGCCCTATAAGTTTTCTTCTTTTTTGCATTGAGAGTCACGGCACTTGAAAGGAAGTTGACAAAAAAGGCCAACAACACAAACACAGTAATATATGTTTACTTTAAAGTCAGATTTTTTTTTTTTTTTTTTTTTTTACTTTAAAGTCAGATTATTCAGAAAAAGTTTTATTTGCTAATTTTATAACAATGGTATTCAAAGCCGTCCGATATATTGAGTTAATATATAGTTGCAATTCGAACTGTGCAAAATTAGTCTTATTTTGTTCTGCGTGAGTTGACAAGAAAACTATATTTCTCCTATATTTTTATCATCTTTTATACTATTTTAGAAAACCGACGATATAGATTATATTTACTTATATTTTTATATATATATCATTTTCAAGTGTGGATTCTTAATAATATTATCAATGGCCGTCAATATGTCTTTGTCTTCCAAAACTAAATCTCAATGCCCTCGTGGGATGCATTGATTGGTTTGCCTTCAATATAAATCTTCTTTGGGTCGGTCTTACCAACTATTACTTTTATTTATTAAATATACAAATGATAACATTCTTTGCATATTGCAACAAATATTGTTTCTCACGAGATTATACATATATTAGTATGCTTCCATTCTCTGAATTAAGTCCATAAAGAAGGAAACACTTTGTTGAGACTTAAGCTTTTTAGATGCTTTAAACTCTTATATTTGGCATGATCACTACCACGCAAAACCATTTAAACTAGAAGCAATACGATTTTTTTTTTTTTTTTGTTAAAATTTCAAATTTATTAAATAAAAATACTTCAAATATTTCTTTTGTTTGGACAGCAGCACGTGCGATCTCTACTATAATCAATCATTAATTAGTAGTATATGACATGTGTGGAAGACCTAATCAAGGCCGTCCATTTGCCCTCACAAACAGCAAAAAGCCGACTTTAGAATAATAAATCGATGGTCTTTAAACAAAAGTGTCCTCTTAAGGTATTTTTACCAAAGAAGAAACCAAGCAAAGCTATATGGATGGACCTTCACTTACTGATTTTATTTTTCTTTTCAATAGGTCACGATTCACGAGAAAATCAATTCTTTTGCGAAAAGAGAAACTTAATTAGCTCCTTACTTTGATAATAATTAACATAAAAGTATTTTGAAGTTGTCACACATATCATGACATGTGTTATCATCGCATCATCACATTTTTTTTAAAATAACATAACGTGTATATAGCTTCATATGCATGATACATTTCTCCCTGCAAAAAAAAAAAAGAAAGGAATTCTCAACGAAAAATAACAACTATATTTGGCTTCAAGTGTTGTTATAGAATAAAATTCCGCTTCATGTACAAAACCGAACCCCCTTTTATATTCCGAACTAAACACATTGATGCCTTGATGGCAATTAAAAACTATAACCATACGATGATTAAAAGTTAGATCTCATAAAATTCTTCAAGAAATGATGTTTGTTAAAAACTAAAAACGAAAAAATAAATAAATTGGCAATTTTGAGATATGATAATGTTTTCGGACAGCCTCGTCGTGCGGACTGGTCTTGGTTCTATCTCTTGCACTAATCTTACGTGTCAGAAGAAGGTTGGCTTACGCAGTAGCTGGTCAAGCTCAGTTAGATCAGCATAGACGATTTCTAATGTTCTTTTTTAATTGCGATTTAATACTCCTAATCAATCCGCAATTAATGAATGAATTTATTACTAATCCCAAAGTTCCCACCAAACGGATATCCCTAGATGCCTTAAATTACATGATTAGCCTTGCAGACATGAGCACGAACGATGTGTGCCACGTGGAAATTATCACTCGATTGTTGCTGGAGGTAAATTTTCTTGCAGTCATACATTTACATCAAAGTTACAAGAAAATAATGGCGGGAAAATATAATACTATTGTGAAGCATTTCTGTTCTATATAATGTAGATATACTACGGGTAATATAGTATTTTATTTGTATTATTTTATCAAGCCAAGCAAAATACCTATAATATATGTCACATTATCACATAGGAAAAAGGTTAAAGATAAATCTATATTTTAAAAATTACCAAATAAATATTAATACAATATCATTAACAAATATTTCTGGTCAAATGGCAATTTTTTTTAGTTTAAACTTAACGGTCTGGTGAAAATTTAAGTGGAATTGAGAAGAAAAATAAAGAGAGTAGAAAATGCATTTTTAGAAGAATATTTTCTACTTTAGTTTTGTATAGAGAAGTTTTCTCTATTTTTTTGCTTTCTAAGAGTAATTAATGAGAGGAAAACTTTTTCTTATCGATTGGTGTGAATATAAAAAAAAATTAAGTTCACTTTTTTATTTTATTCTTTTGATGTTTTCCAGTCACACCCTAAAAGAAGAAGATCCCCCAATATATCACATCGCAATGGTTAATTTAAATAGTCATACAAGATCCAAATTAACTAACTTAAGCGATGCGATCAAGGATCTAACATTGGTTTCTAAAGTATAACATTTTGAGCACTTAATCATATCACATTTCATATTTTGATTGTGTGTTTTAATGTAATACACAAAAAAATTTTAAGGATCCATTACAATAGCTTAAAAAAGCGAGATCTTAACATTCCTTGGAGTATCATTAATTCTGCTATACAATCATATTAAATATGGGGGATAAATATGTAAATTCAAAGAATGGTGATAGGATATATATAAGGTCTCCATGTCGTTATCTTTTTTAATCAAAACATTTTAACCAAACAGAAAATCAAAAATCCAAAGCTAAAAACAGATATCAGATAACTCAAAGAAAAATAGAAAACATCAAAAATATATAGAGACACAACATATTATTACATTTATCTATCTGTTGCAGAGAGAGTTATTATTATGGCTTTTGATGAAGATATGAAAATGGCGTCTTTCTTAAGAGAAGAAGAAGAACAACACTATTCTTTATCAAGACTCTCCGTTTGTTCCAACTACGACGGCGATGAAGCCGACGGCGAATCTTCTGATTCCGACGAGAAACGTGTCGGCGGCGCCGGAGGAGAGAAATCTATGGAGGAGCTAAATTTTTCTGATTCTGATAAAGGATCAACCGGTTGTCAATCTCTCCCGGCGACACCTCCACGACGGAGACGGCGGCGTGGAGGTTATTTGACGGTGAGTTCTCCGGTTTCCGGCGATAAAGCTTACGCTAGCGAGAACGAAGTTCAAAAGACGAATAACAATCAGAGGAGGAGGAGATTGAAACCGGAGTGTCCACCGTGGGTTGATAGTATGCGGAGGAGCTACGGCGGAGATGAACAGAGTGGTCACGGTGGTTACGGAGGAGGAGTGGTGGTTGTGACGAGGCCTATAGGAGGAGGAAGGCCATTGTGTATGGATTTAGAAGAAGTCAAAGCTTGTAAAGATTTGGGGTTTGAGCTTGAACCGGGTCGGGTTTCGTATTCCGGGTCAACGATGGATACTAGTAGTGGCGGCAATTCTCCTATCTCTTCTAACCACCGTATTTCGAGTCCCGGTTAGTCCCAAAAAAACACCAAGCTTTTTTTTTTGGCTCTTAGTTAAAATTCCAAAAACTTTTAATTTTTTTCTTGACCTTTCTATCTTTTTTTTTGTTGGATTTATATGCACTAAATATCTAAATTTGAAAAGCTTTTAATATGCAAAAGCCAAATGCTATTTTACAAAATTATTAATATATATACATTAACCATTTTTATAGTTTGTGGCAAAACTTGAGCTTATAGAATTAAAATATGGGCTTAACTTGATATTTCAGGGGATGATCCAAAAGACGTGAAAGCGAGGCTTAAGGCGTGGGCTCATGCTGTGGCTTTTGTGTCCACTACTTATCATCAACCTCCTAATTCTTTATGATTCACTCTCTTACAAAAAAAATTTCACTTCAAAAAAAAATTTGCATGCATTTTCCACTTAAGTTTTGAAAATTCTTTTTGATTTCGTAATTTTTTTTACAGAGTTTGTTCTGTTTTTGTGTGTTGACGGTGAGATTTGGCAATTGATATTGAGTATATGGTCATAAGCCAAAAAGTATAGAGTTAAATATATAACTATAAAGTTTGATGATTGGCTTTCTCCAGCATTGTAATATTCAACATTTTACATTATTGAATTTTTTTTATTCTAAATTTAAACTCGAAGGCGTACCAAAGAAAGAATCGTTTTTACTCCCAACAAAGGGAGGAGAAAAAATCATTAATGTATTGTGTGTGTATGAGACTATCTACAATGCAGGTGTTGAATTATTTATTCAACTGTTGAATCTCCACATTGCATCTGTTGAATAATTTAAAAACCTTACGTGGATTCAACTTGGTTGAAAGTATTCAACATGTTGAAAAGAAAATTTTTGGGTCCGCGCATGCCACGTGTCAATAAGTGAGTGGGAGGTGTGTTTCAAACTCGGGGAAAGGAGAGTGTACTCTCTAAACCCTTTTTTTTTAATTTTTTTTCCGAAAAAAGAAGAAATTATTTAGATGCTGACACTTGCTATATTTTCATTGGATATTGAGATTTTGGAGATTTTTATTTCATATTATCTATTTACAATCAATTATTACATACCAAACGAACTTAAAAAATATATATATTTATATGAAAATTTATAACTTTTTAAACTCTATAAATAGAGACTTGGTTCATTTCATTTGGACACATAAAAAAAAAAAACAATTTCTACCATAATTTTCTTATTCTTCTTCCATAAACGCTTGGTTATATCCTTAATTTTTTTTGAAATGGATTCTAATAATAATCCTATGCAAAATTCTACTAATTTTCCTTTTCCCTACTAATCTTATTCTTCTCCCATAAACACTTGGTTATTATCTATGATTTTTATTGTTTGTGGTGTGATTTATGATTTTTATTGTTTGTGAGTTGAATCGCATGTGTGTTTAATATTAATTGTGTTGTATGCTTGTATCGTATTGTATTTGAAGTTTTAATAAATTGTTTTTATTTTTATAATCTGAAAATATTTAGTTAAAAATAGAAAATTATTAAAAAAAATATTAAAAAATTATGTCACTTTTAGTTAATTTAATTTAGTGTTAATCGATATTTTAACTTAATTTGTTCAACAATTATTATTATGCAATACGAAAATATAATATATAAGAAAATAAGAATATATAATAAAAATAGTGGGGTAGGGTGTTGAATTTTATTAAACAAAAGCACTGGAGTGATAAAAAATTAAGTGGGTGTTGAATTGTGATGTGGAAGAAAGAGAAAATGATGTGGAGTGTTAAAAGTTGAGGTGGAGGGTGTTGAATATGTTTTTGCATTGTACATAGTCTGAGAGAGCTATGTTGAAGAAACAGAGCTAGTAGCGACTATTGGACCTTGTGGCTCATCATCGAACTGATACTTGTTGTAAACTTGGAGCAATAGATCACGGCAAGGGACGGTGGCTCCAAGCTTGATACAAGCCAAGAAAGCGCCGGATAATTTACGGTGAAGGCTATAGGCTTCATCGGGTGGTGGAGTGAGTCTATGTTTCAACATGGTTGCTCCTAAATTGGAGATACTAGAAGCAATGTTGTTGGTTCGGAAAGCGTAGCCACCAGGTTCTGCAAAAGGTAGACCCACTATGAAACCGGCTTGGACATGAGCGTCTAGCATTACGTCTGATTCATCTCCGGTTAAGAACCCGAGTCTCCTCGACATTTCAATCACTCCTTCACTGTCTTTTTCTGCACATGCCATCACCTGGAAAAAGGTTCCGTAAAATGTTCTCAATGTTCAATTTTCAGAATTCTTTACATGTGAAAGCGAAATATAGGAATCGGTAAGATTGTTTTACCATTCGTAGATAGTCATCGACGAATTTCTTGGGGTAATCACGGGCTGCTCCGAAATCGATAAGATTGATTGTTTTCGTGGCTTCATTGTATAAGAAATTACCCCAGTTTGGATCCGTCTGCATGAAGCGGAAGACAAAGAGCTCCTTCAAAGTGAGTTCTAGCATCTTCCTCCCAACATAATCTCGTGTTTTCTGATCTAACAAGGCTACTTTATCAATGGGGATCCCTATAAGAATATGTTAATAGCAAAGATTAGTTCAGCATAACATTGTAACAAATATCAGAACAGAGTAGGCGGAATTGCGAGTACCAGATATAAGTTCTGTGGTTAGAATCTTTTTGCTTGAAATCTCATCTACCACAAGCGGAACATAAAACCCTGGAGTGTCTGAAAGCAAATCACGAAAGCGCTTTTGACTGACTGCTTCGATTTCATAGTCACACTCCTGCGCCAACTCTTCTTTGGCAACCTGCAAAAATCTTCGTCATGAATCTTAAGACACGGATAGATTGATCATTTGTAACACATTGTCCAAATTTTTAAGGGGGACCATCATTTTGTTATCTTTTCTTCTATGTTATCCGATCATCAGAGTATAGAATCTGAGACTGAATGTATTGCTTAACTAACACTCGATAAGATAAACAATACCTTTATAGCTCTGTCCAGAAAGAGTCCCTTTGGAATAAGATTTGTATAATTTAACAAGCGTCTGACATTTTCGATATCACTTTCAATGCTGTTGGCAACGCCAGGGTACTGAATCTTCATTGCGACTTCTAATCCATCTTTAGTAACAGCTCGGTGCACCTAAAACATCATTACAACGAACTAAGGAATAGAAGAAAAAAACGATTTAACACACTCACAAAGACTACATATCACATGCATTCTTCAATCAAAATACAATCGTAGAAACTAAGTTAGTAGTACCTGACCAATACTCGCTGCCGCTAGCGGTTCATAATCAAAACTAGTCAACTTGGATTGCCAATTAGGACCTAACTCAGCATCCAAAACAGGATTAAGTTGACTTCTTGGCATAACATCAGCACCTTGACGCACATATTCCAGAGCATTCAAGATCTACAAAAGAACCTATCTTTATGTCAAAACAAGATACCAAACTAAAGCTGCTAAGAGTAGACAAAAGAAATCGATTCGTACATACCGGAGCAGGAACAAGACTCTCGTCCTGTATACTCAACATTTGGCCAACTTTAAGAGCAGCTCCACGCATTTCACACAATCCAAGAGCCAATCTTTCAGCATTTTCCTTAGACATCAAAGACGATAGTGCAGGTTGATTGCCTTCTGTCATTGGTGTCCCATTCACAATCCTATACGTAGATTCTTTAACAGCTCCCCAAGCAAGAGCAGCTCCTAAATTGAAAAACCTTCACATTTTCACAAAATTCAACTTCTTAAAATTGCTTCATCATATAGGATTCTATTTCTATCTAACCTAACTAAGCAATGAGTGATTGATTCCAATACCCATAAGCTCTTGCCATAGGAGTTGATGGAACCTTCCTCTCTCTAGGTCTCCTTCTCTTCACCGGAGCTACTACCTCCGCCGAAGACGATGCAACCGCACCTGATTCGGTAGCTCTAACTCCAATAATCTCGCTGTCTACGTTGCTTGAAACCTTAATCTCTTCTTCTCTATTTGAAATCTTAGCTTCATCGTTAAATTCGCTTCTCAGGACTTTCGAATCAACGATTTTCTCGCTAGGTTCGTTACTAGCAGATCTAACCTCAGGCGTTACGACGACGGTATCTTTGTTATCTCCTTCGTCGAAGTAAACAACGGAAGGTTCCTTAGATCGACGAATCGAGAGCTCGCGAAGCTTCCCGGAGGTAAGTCCGACTAAGTCGGTGGCAGCAACCAAAGCTTTTTTACCAGAAGACGTAATTAAGCCTTCGAGATCTCCATTTCTCGCTCTCTGTAATTCCGGTGACTGATTATAGATCTCTTTCGCTACAAGCGACACACCATTGAAGAGCCTACCAAAGCTCTTGCTCCACGAACTCATCACGAATCAATCTGAAAAGTACTCTTAATCGTCGATTTGACTTTCCTCTTTTTGTTTGTTTTCCATTTTCAGAAATTTGGTTTGAATCGAATTTTCCCGAGAAAATTTATAATTGTGTGTGTTTGCGTTAGACCACGAAGATCGGAGACGTCGACGAGGAACCGAGGTTTACGTGGGGAGACGATAGCCAGAAACTCCTCCTCCAAGGGTTCTAGTTTCGGCCCAACTAGCCATTCTATTTTCATTGTCACCATATAAGGCCCATTGGGCTACAAAGGAGTTTTATTTACGAGTAGCTTACTTAACCAAATGTGTAATTGATGATACTTGATGTTTTGTTGAATTTGCTCCCATGTAGTTTAATTGTACAAAATATATATCATCAATTTATGTTGTGAATCACCAGAATATATTAAAGATATGTATTAGTAATACAGTATTACCAATCTTTGTCTGGTCTAAATTTTTTTTTTTTTAAGATACGGTAGGAAAGTGATTTAGCACCACCCGATTAACTTGACTTTAACTAAAAATAAATCGAGTTTCCGGTCCACTTCGAAGAATCAGCCTTGTGGAAATACCCAATTGACTTGTAGATATTAGGACTAGAACCAACCTAATAGAAAATAGAAAGATTGAATCGAATCTACCTCGAATATTGATATTAAGAGGAAAATGAAAAATTCTCGCTAAAAAAAAAAGAAGCATATTCGATGACTTAGGAAGGAGGAATATAAATAACAAATTCGGCTGACGAGCAAAGAAGAAACACTTGGCGCCTCAAAAACTCTAAATACACAACTTACAAGGAAAACTCTAATTTGTTATCAAAGCTAGTTAGAGCTTTTTGTAATTTCGTGGATTTGTTTTTGAGATCAATAAAAAAAAAACGATTTTTTTGAAACCTAATTATAATGGAATTAATGTGACAAAAAAAAAAAATAGACATGACTACTATATCTTCATGTCTAAGTTGAAAATGATCGGACCGTTGTGTGAAATCCGACACTAACAAATTAACAATACAGTTTTGTTGTCTCAGATAAAGTTAAAGTTAAACAAACTTTTTTATAAATGGCTGCTTTACATCAACAGTAATTGAATATGGAGGAAAATGCACAATCGTTGCCTCGATACACGAGCTTTCTCTCTCTCTTGAAGGCGATTTTATAGATCTCGATCTAGTGCTCCGGTGAACCTGGTTTAATTGAAGGTGAAGGTCTTTCGAAGGTAGTCCAGGAGTGAGTCGTCTTGTCTCTCTGACAACAATGGCGTGGTGTCTCCTGCTGATGTGGATGTGGCTCTGGAAGGGCGGAGGAGGAGCGTTGATGCAGTTGCCTCTCGGTTGGGGACGCTGGGAGTTGTGTCGGTGCTCCTCAGGCTCAACCGCCGGCCCATAGGCTGCGTCCACGGCGGAAGTTGGCGGGGGTAAGGTGGGTTTTGTGTTGTGTTGACAGGTGGCTAGCGGAGGATCTTTGATTCTTGATGGCTGATGCGGGGGTCGGATTTAAAGGCTCCGGGTGAGCCTCCGTCCTTTATATCCGCCGGATCGGGTGTGCCGACTGTCCGGATCGAGGCTCGACGTCTTAGGGATCCCGGATTTTCACGGAGATGGAAGAGCGAGGATAGCCCCAAGCGCGACGGGTTGCTAGGTTGGGACTCGTCGCCGTCGATCCGTCTCGTCGGTGACTCTAACTTTCTGGGAGGTTTGTGGCGGGTTGGTTCGTCGGAGGAAAAGGATGGCTGTCGGAAACCGAAATCTTCCACCGGCAATTTTAATCCTCTGATGTGGCCACGAAGTTGTGGGCCTTGATTTCGCCAGATCTAAGGTTTGGGGTCACTGCGAACGGAGATCAACAGGGGCCGAGTCGGTCTGGTTTTTCCGGCGAGTCTCCGGCGATTCCTTTTTGTAACTGGGCTTATTTTCGTTGTAAGGCCTTGGCCCATGCCCATTTTGGGTTGAAATAATTAATAAAATAAATATATTAAAAAAAAAAAAAAAAAAAAAAAAAAAAAAAAAAAAAAAACAGTAATTGAATATGCTGCTAGCAATGTTGTAATATCTAAGCGTTGATTATTTAAATTTATATGCTTAAGTACAATGGCCGCCAAAAAAATTTAAAAAATGCCCAAGTACAATGCATCTCCCACTCATAAAGTAAAGAAATTATATAATACGAACAAAACAAAAAAATTGAGACCCGTAAGTAGATATGAAAATCATTTGAAGCTAGTAATCTTCTCTAACTCATTCGTTTTGTTTTTCTTAACGTAAAAGAGAATTTTATTTTAACTTTCGGTAATATTGCACAAATCTTAGGGTACGAACAAATATTGTTATTAAATCATTTCGAATATAAAATTGGTAAAGTCTGATTTAATTTAAAATATGGCACAGTGATTAGTTGGCATCAAACTACAGGTAATCATCATTTGTCTATACATATGTAAATTGTATTTCAATTAACAATACTTAGTCTTGAGATCTTCAAAAATATCTGGGAGCTTTGACAAAAAAGACGAAGACAAAATGTCCATTAGAGCTCAAGAAATTCAAACCCTTGAAGGTATTTTTACTCTAATCTATATCTTTTTGAAGTTTCAAGTAATATGCTTTTATATTTTAAATCCGTTTACATCGTTTGTTAAGCTTTTGCTAATCTCTTCAAGATCCTGAGATCCAAAATCATACTTAAGATTTGACCCACCTGCTTTATGTTCTATCTCTTGAAAGTTTTTTTGCCTTTTAGATTAGATCGGTTTGATTCTATCGATCATATATTATATTTGATATATAAACTATAAGTATAAGACTTTTGTTTAGGTGAAAATCATTTGTTGTTCTTTTTATCAGAAGTCTGTTAGTGATATTGTTGAAACTTTCCTCTTCAAGATCATTAGCACAAGTTAATTTAAATTCGTTATTGTTTAAAGATCATTTACCTAAAACACAACTAATAGGTTTCCTCAAAAGGTCATTTGGATCTATATAATTCAAGGGTTTTTTTTTTTTTTTTTTTTTTTGTCTTTTATTTGATAATGGCAAATTGAGAGTCAATGACATTTTAGTGAAATATCGATCAGAGTTAATAACTTTTAGTGGGTAAAGCATATTGGTATTTTCAATATACATAATTTAGAGTGGAAAATTCAATACATCATATTCAAAACTTAAACAAATATATTTTATGTTATTAAGTATTAACCTTAAGACTATAAAAATTCTTCCGAAAAAAAGAAATTTACAAAAACTTGTAGACCGAAAATGATTTTAGATACACCTTTAACACAAAAAAAAAAAGAGAGTATAAATTCATAGCACAAAGCCACAAACCGGTAAACAATTTGAAATGTGTCCAATCTTAGGGTAAGAAGATGGAAATATATTTTCGTTGACAAAAAAATGGAAATATTTTCTTTGAACGTAACTATTTCTCCGAAAATCACACGAAAAATATCTATTCATGGTTTAAAATTAATAGATCTTTATGAAAGATAGAGATTACATTTTTAAATAAGTTATAAATAAAATAGTTTTTGATCATTTAATCCATTTTTATATATAGGATATCTAGATAGTGATAATATCATGGGTTAAAAAATAATCTCATTTGATAATAATTAGTTTGGAGTTAAAATTGTAGATAGAATACATTTTGAAAGTTTTGTGATATATGTATATATATATATATATATATATTTTAATTAAATCCATAATTTATGTATTTTAAATGGGCCCATTTTGACTTTAAGAAAATAAAAGGCCCAAATAGAAAGCCTATAGTTCATTAGCAAGCCTTCTTTTAGACGGTTTTTCCAGATCTAGAAACAATGCAATCTTCTCCCATCTTATTAGACTTCTCCTCCGCCTTTCACCACCCACGCGCCGCCGCGTTAGCCACCACCTCCGCCGTAACGATTTCACAATCTCCGACTAAAAAATTTCACCCAATATCCTTTTTTTCACCTTCCTCGACACTCTTAGCTTCTTCTTATTCTTCTCGTAGATGTTTCACCTGCCGATTTGGCGACAGTTCTCCACGATTCGATTCAAGCGAAGATGAAACTGAAATTGAAATTGATGATGATGATGATTATTGTTTGACAGATGGGAAGACAGAGGAATTTATAGGCGACGATGGAGTTCTTATAGAGGTGAAGAAACTCGAGAAGAGCTCGCGTCGAATTCGTTCGAAGATTGGAATGGAAGCGAGTCTCGATTCCGTTTGGAGTGTATTGACTGATTACGAGAAGTTATCTGATTTTATTCCAGGTCTCGTTGTTAGCGAATTGGTCGAGAAAGAAGGCAATCGTGTTCGTCTTTTCCAGGTTTTTGCTCTCAAAACCATTCTTTGATTAGTGTATCAATGGCTCTGTTTAGGTTCAAATTCATGTTGATTGGTGCATTGGCTCTTACTTAAGCTTGAATTGGCCATGATCTTGTACCTTGAGATTGAGATTACATTGCTTGATTTGAGTGCATTTTCATATTCTCTGGTTTTTGTGGTTGTTTTGATAGATGGGACAGCAGAATTTAGCACTTGGTCTTAAGTTCAATGCCAAAGCTGTTTTAGATTGTTTTGAGAAAGAGCTTGAGATTTTGCCACATGGGAGGAGACGTGAAATCGACTTTAAGATGGTCGAAGGCGATTTCCAATTGTTTGAAGGCAAATGGTCTATCGAACAAGTAAATATCATACGAAATCCCTCTTATAAGAACACATCGCATCGAGGCTGTTTTTTGATTATTATCTGTGTTTTTTCGTGGCACAGCTCGACAAAGGGATTCATGGGGAGGCTTTGGATTTACAGTTTAAAGATTTTCGGACGACGCTTGCATACACTGTGGATGTAAAACCGAAGATGTGGTTACCAGTGCGGCTAGTTGAAGGAAGATTGTGCAAAGAGATCAAAACTAATCTTACGAGTATCCGAGATGCAGCTCAGAAAGTTATTGAAGGTGTTATTCATGATCTTTGAGTTTTCTCTTTAAGCCAAGCTGAGGTAGTGTTTCACTTCTCTGCAGGTTAGATATAGATACAAATAAGCCTATATAATTTTAAAATCTTATGTAACTTTACATTCACAGTTGTTCTCAATTGTATATTCTGAATCTTGAGGCTTTCAATATAAGTTTTTTCGACATGTCATTGTTTCGACTAGAGATGTGTAAAAACTTGTAGTAAACGGTAGTTGCCGGTGAATCGGAATAAGACAGTGAACTCAGAATGTTACAGATGATCCATTTTCCGTAAATGACTTCGAATTAATCGACAGCTTGGCACCATGAATTGATTTCAAATTAGGTTCAAGTTGAGATTAAGATTTTTCAGGAGCGATTAACTTTAACTAACGGTGGATTTGCATAAGCTGAGACAGAGAGAAATAATAGACGAAAAGAAACATATTGCTCTGTGTTCTTGTTGCTTTAAAACAGAGCTATTTCCAAAACATAGCACTCTGTTTTAAGGTCTATTTTCTTGTTGCTTAAAAATAGAGCTGTTTCCAAAACATAGCACTCTGTTTTATGGTCGATTGATATTAGCAAGGAGGTAAAACCTGTACATTGCAGAGGAGGTTGAGAATGAAGATTGAGGCGATATTATATATATATCCTTTCATATATAGTAAACATATTCTTCATGAATGTACAAATACAATCATCACTGCTTGAGTCTTCTCCAGATTATAAACTCTCCGGAAGCAAGACTATGATAAGGCTATAAAACAAGCAGCTTACCTCGCAGACGATGATGATGCAACAGAGGAAGCAAAAATACCCAATGAAAGTAAATACAAAAGATGGATAAAAACCATAAACCCCATCATTACTGAGATCAGAAGTTAATGTTGCTCTTGAAGCTCTGACCAAACTGCCAATTCGAAGGAACAACGTTGAGAGCTGCTTTGATGCTTCCATCACTGAGTTGAACTTTGAAAGAGAGAGATTGTCCATTAAGGAAAGTGTTGCTCTGATAGTTAGCTCCCCAATTTCTTGACATTGTCTCCCACTTGTTGCTCTTAGAGCCTTTGATCCAAACTTTAGAGATGTCACCAGCTCCTGCTACGTTTGAGATGAGAACAAGCTCGAAATAGTTTCTACCATTCATCGTAAATCTCATCCCTCCGCTTCTTCTACATCCAACCCTTTTGTAGAGAATGGGAACGATTCCAGCTTTGTACTTAGCGATGGTTAGAAACGCAGGCTGAGCCATGTCAAAGTGAGGTCTTGGTGGGTTGCACCATCCTCCATCGTCGCTTGCCTGAGCAAAGTTTGGTGGACAGAAGTTTGTGGCTGTGATTGTGATTGATCTTCCTTTAAGACACCATTGTGGTACTTTGGTTGCATCACACACGATTTGGTAACATCCACCGCATGACTTGCCGTCGTTAAACAGTGCCGTGCTTAACGCTGCTGTGTTTGTCTTGTAACCGTCTGTGTATAGGTTCCCATAACCACAAGCTCCACCTGAAGAAGAAAACTATGAGAGGGTTTCTTGTTGAAGAAGAAATATTATTTTTTACTTTTTAGAGCTCTCATTAGGGTAGAACCGAGTCCAACTAAATCAAACCGAAATTAATTTCTAGTCTGATTTATACCAAACCTTACCAAAACCAATTTTTGTATAAAAAACATATTTTTAATGTAAAATATGTACAATAAAAAAGATTCATGAAAGGTAAAATATCTTTTAATCCAATTATTTTTATAAATTTCTCCAAATCGAATAAACCCTAAAAACCAAATTTTCATCTCTAGTTTGTGAGACTTACCCATTGTACCAGAAGCATCACTTCCACCATAAAAGGTCGCATGAGCTTGCAACCAACCAGCAGAAACTGAGCTGATCTTCATGAAGAACATTGTGGAGAAGATCATTGCGACCAATAGAGAGAAAATCTTCGTCATTTGTTTTTCTTTCAATGTCTTAAGTGTTTAACTTTTGATTAGAGAAGAAGTTGATGATTGTTGTAGTGTTGGATGCAAAAGACTTAGGATTCATCAGCTATTTATAGTAGAACTCCGAGAGCTTGTTTCAATTAAGATATAAGTATAAATTAATTAGATATGACTTGTAATTAGCGGAAAACGTTGAAATTAATAATATGATTTGGTGATGATTGATTCAATGATTATAAGAAGTGCGAAAAATACGGAGTTTTCAGGCATATGATAATTAAGTTTAATCCTATAAGGGCATGTGACTATAGGTAGTTGCTTTTAGTTTCTTTCAAATATTATAAACTTTTACTCTCTTTTCCTAAGTTTTATATTAATTGTTTCTCTTGTCAACCAAGTTTTATAAGTGGTTTATATTTTTTATTTGCCAATGGGTAGTTTTCATTATAAAAAAAAATGGCGTTTAGTACATAACAAAAGGAGACTAATGCAGCAACCCGTTTTTTAAAAATTATGATTACCAACCACTTTAACCAACCAAAATAGTTTCTTGTTTTCTTCGATAAAACTAGTCCGTTAAAAATAGAAAACTTGGAGAAATATCAATTGTAGAAAGTAGAAACAAACGTCCCGCGGCACATAAAAGCTAAGTTTAGGAATTTGCATCATGCTAAATATATATTTCTTTAATAAAATTTAACATGTAATTTTGTGATATATATAGTTCAGTTCAATCATCTTTTGCAATTGTTCTTAAGTACAACTTATAACGCGTCTCGTGAGAATCAGCTAGTATTATTATCATTACATAAAATAGTTATTTAGTATACGAATTATTACATAGATCATAGATGTATAACCAAATGGCAAGTTGTCTTAATAATCTGCAATGAATATACAATTCGAATATAGTATCAAATTATCAATATATATATGAGCTTTTGTTGAAAAAATCAACGTACGAAATCAACTGATAAGTGCTCCTCCATTTACGCAAATTCCGTGGTACGTTGCAAGTTGCCAACTTACGCTGATTATCTATCTATTCAGACATTCAGTTTTCGTTTGTTTGAAGTTAAGTGTTTTACCGTTTATAGTTAATTATAGGACTGTCTTTTAAATGCTATTTTCACCGAACAAAACAGCAAAATCTCTTTATTGTTCTTTCCTTGGTCAGGTACGGTTAATGAACTTCTTTAAGTTTATTTTAGATTGGGACTTGATTAGATACTTTATATGAAAACAGTTTCGAATTTTCTTCATCTACATATTCCATCCACAGATTGATAAATCAATATTATTAACATATTTATTTTGGCTCTTTCAACCTAACCTTGAAATATCAAAGATGGTCGAAGTCAAATGTTATAATACATGCATAAGTACGTTTACGTAACATTATCAGCCATGTAATATAAATATATATAATTATATACCCTAATATCATGGCATATCTAATGGTAAGTCCACGTACTTATCACATGGGTGATGCGCTGATTCCATTTGATAACTCACACATGAACCAACCACTCTCCATTTCAATGATAAATTCCGTATTTTCATATTAATAAAGTGATTGACAATCGAATTATACGGTTTTAACTACACTATAGCTAGGGAAAGAGAAAATTAAAGTACCATGGTACAGTACGTATAACGTGATTTGATAATCAATGATGTAAAAAATAAGAAAAAAATCATTATATAAAACATTATCTATAATTTTTCAGTTAAGTACAACTTTGTCAACAATTAATGCATAATTATCACTTGATTATAAGTTCCAAATCGTGTAATCCACTAATTCGTAATTAGTACGTACAATGTAGGAATCGTTAATTGTGCATTACCTATTATTGAAAAAAAATTGTGATAGGTGATCCTCACTACTCCGGTAAATGATATACGGCGGGCTAACTATCAATCACAAAAATGATAAAACATAGATATACTATTAATCTGTTTATATCACTTGTGATTTTTTTTTTTTTTAATCGTTTTATGTCGCTAAATCGGATCCAAAAGACAAGTCTTTGCTTAGTTGGACAATCAACAGATATAAAATTTTCAATTTTGCAAATATTTACGCTAAAAGTGGAAAGGATTTTTCCACTTTCCCCTATGTAAATAAACTTTTCTTTGTTGTGGAATAAAATTAACGATTCAAGAAAAAAGAAAAGAAAAAGAAGACAAATATATGCAACGAAGTTAAAAGTAAAAACCATATTATATTTTGCTTAATTATGTTGAAGTACTTATTTGTATAACATTTTCACAGCCAACCAGAAAACAATTTCCAGTCACCGGATTCTTTTACTGCAAAGTGCAAACAACAACCATAACATATATCTTACAAACAACTTTTCATCTTCGATATTAATAAACCGATGCAACATTTCCATCTTTGATCTTAAACCGACGCAACCGGAAGATCATTCGAACCGGTATCAACCTTAAACACATTCCTGCTTGAAGGTAAACCAGCCACTGGTTCATCTTCAATTCCACATTCATTGGTTCCTCTCCTTATCATGAAATAACCATCCTGCAAATTTCATATATGCCAACAACATTCATGAAACAAATAACCAAATCTATAATTATTCGTAAATTTATTACGAAATAAAACTTACATCACCCCAGCCTCTGTTCCATTGATTTGCCATCAACTAAAAACAATTGAAAAGGAACCAAGAACGTTATAAATTTCGGCTAATTTCAAACTTTCGATATAAGAAACTCGCTAAAATGTATAACATTACCCAATAATCTTCGCCTTCGTTGCTAGTTCCCCAACCAATAAGTTTAACAGCATGACCTCCAATGTTAGATCCTGTTATGTGCTTATAGACTCCAGATTTGTAATGAGCAAAATCCTAATCAAAACAAACCACTAATGATCCATCTTTCTTTAACTTTTATTCAAAACAATCTATATAGGTTATGGTCTTTATTACCTCATAAACGGTAAAAGAGACTTCAACAGGTCCATTCTTATAAACCTCTGCCATGATATCTTGTGGACTAGAATTAACAGTGTATGTACTGACACTGTAATGCTTCGACTCGCTCCATAGTTTGTTGTCGCTAACGCATTTCCTCAAACATCTCGGCGTAGGATATGCCGGTTCACAACCCGGGTGAGAACATCCGGTATTATCAAAGTATGGATCACACTAATAAAACCAATAATACATTACCAAAAACTTCAACTAAACTAATTCCAAACTTGAGGATTGTAGAGACATTAATCTTATTTACCTCTTCGGTAACAACACCGCTATATGAAAAGTATTGCCAAGCAGCAATCGGGTAGCCACCGTCACAACCATCACCACAACGGAATCCACAACAAGCTAGAAGATCATTTACTGATAAAGAAATGTTCTGAATTGATAAAAGAAAAGATTAGGCTTCGGATTATAAATCTTCATCTAGTATTTGAACTGTTATTAGTATTATTACCATGCCAAATTGGATACAGAATCTATCAGATAGTGATTCAACAGCACCAAATGCCCAGCAAGAACCACAATGTCCCTAAACCAAAACCACAAAATCTCATAAAACCAATTATTCCACTAGACATATCTAAAAGTTACAAGACACACAAAAGATTGAAACTTTACCTGATCTGTTCATAGAGCAGTCAACACACACACACACACACACACAAACCAAGCATTAGTAACCGATAAACGAAGTGCAATTTGAACACTCAAATTGTGTTAATAAGCCTAAAACCAAACCTAAGATCTTTCCAATACTAGTGCATTGTGGCCAAGCAGTTCTAGCATCAAAAGCTTTAGGTAGCTTCAAAGATGGATCATGGCTTACAACAGGAACACCTAAGAAATGCTTCTTCGGTGTTGGTTTAACACCGAGAAGGCGCTTAAACTCTGCAACCTGTAACATACAAAAGTTTTTTAAGAACAGAATCATGAATCATTATTTAGATTGTTGTTACTCACTCATATAGAGATTTAAAGAACATTACAGTGGCGTTTGAAAATCGATCATTTATAGCAGCTTTCCATCCAGCGTTTGGATTTTGGTTGACTTTCTTCACAATCTCATCCTAATGAAAAAAATATCAAAATCTTGATTAGCGAGAAATCAGAAGAACAGAACTAGTTAAACAAGATTCAAACCTGAAGTATCTTCGAGTTGAGTTTCTGTTTGGTAAGATTTTCTGCTGATATACCCTGATTAAGACAAAACCCAGAAGATTTTAGTCAACATAGTTTGGATCTTTCTTTGTCTTAATGTTTTAAAGTATAGTTTTTATATAACTAAACAATTAAAAGATAGATAGTAATAGTATTGGATCTAAATGAAATATAACACCAAACTTCATAACTCGTTACACAAATCAAACTTAAGAAGAGATGATTATGAATGTTACCTTCAAGTCAAAAGCCAAGAGAAGCCCTAAGAGCAAGAAAACAGAGGCCAAACAGAGTTTGGTATTGTAAGCAGCCATGAAAACAGAGTTTGCTTCTTCGATGAATCAAAAACCAAAAGATCTCTTTGTATAAGTTAAAACTCAGTGTGGTGGGGGAATGAATCTTCTTTAAAATAGCAAAAAGAGAGAAAGAGAGAGTGGCTTATCTACTGCAGAATGACAGAGACATTTCTTGGGAAACTGAATCAGCCAATGACTTGTTTAAGAGCCAAAAGAAGATCTTAGCCGTTGATTGGTGCAATCTACAGAATTTTAGGCCGTTAAAGGTATATATGATTGCCACGTTGCGTCATTACTCATTACACATCGTTCGTAATATCTTATGGGATTGAAGTTGGACCCTTTGTTACGAAATCTCAATGGCAAGTTAACAAATAACAACCATCGATCAGATAAGTTACTTGTGTAACTCTCAGTTACCCAATTTTTTTTATTCTTTGGGTTATACGTTAATGTTGATTTACAGTAGTCGGAAAAAAAAAGAATGTTAATGTTAATTTACTATAAGACCAAATTATGAATCAGATAAATAATTTTGGTGGTAAAATCGTAAACAATTAATATTTAATGAGATTTGATCAAATTAGTTTTTGTACTTGTGCATAAGTGTGTTATTTAACTTAAATTCGCATGTAAATAAATATATACAAAGTGTTATCGGATAAGATAACATGATTAAAATAAAATAACGTGTAAAGAGTTATTTACTTAAATAATTTTTTTACTAATACCCTTAATTGTTTTACAAAGTTTTGTCACTAGACCAGACCATGGCGACCCAAATTCTTACAAATTGGATATATAAAGACTTTTTAGTGATGATAAAATTCTTAATTAGAATTTGATTACATGGCACGATGACGATCACAACGGGAATTAAGGAGAGCTTTGTTGAGACAATTGAAAGCATCGATGTAGGAGACAAAGCCCATGAACCAAAACTCAAACCCATCTTGTGTCACCATATGCACATACCTCTCACTTGGCTTCAACACGTTCGTTGATGAACTAATGCTACTTATCTTCTCCAACTCCATCACCACCTATCAATACAACATTAATTATAATATCACATATAAATGTTATTATTGCTCAATATATATTATAATAGTCCTAATATTTAGAAAACATTAAAAAGTAAGAAATTTTGCATAGAAATTTGAAAACGACATCCAATTCAAAAAAATAAAATTTCTAAAACGACAATTATTAAAATACGGAGGGAGTATTATAATAGTCCTAATATTTAGAAACCAAATTATTATTTTCTTATTTTATAAAATGAAAACAAATATTTGACAAAGAACAATTCTTGTTACCAACTTAGATAATTTTTAAGTATGAACAAAACTTCTATAACAAAAAAATGTTCTGGTCTAACCTTGTAATATGCCGCAACACCGTTTCCACCGGCACGAATGGCATAGTCGCTACAAAAAGCGATTCTTCTGTTGGAAATGTATATCACTCCGGTCACTGGTCCCGAACTAGTCGATATGTAGCAAACAAACGAATCTAAAAGTTTCTCTGCAGCTAAAACACCAAACTCTCGTTGAAACACTCTCTCTGGTCCTCCTTCAACGATCATCTTAGTGCCTTGAGAAAGCCTAGCCATTGCTGCATCACCTATGCTAGGACTAAACTTCACTGTTTATATCCGGTTTCATGCATATATAGACCACATATAGATTATTGTTATAAAAAAAATCATCAGATCTATGTTTTAGGTATATATATAAACCCTCACGTACGGTGGTCTTTTAAACCGCCGGCTAATGCTTCCGCTTTGCGAGTAACGTCCTCTACTTTCTTCCCACACCGATTCAACACCTCAAGAACCTTATCCTTCGACCCTATATGTATTATACATCAATCAAGATTTATTATAAGCTTAGTTAAGACACGAACAATCATTTTTTAGACTTACTCTTATCAGAAGCTGATGTGGGAGTAGTAATGTGGACGTAAGGGTTATTATAACGACCGCCATGGCTGTTGGTTTTGTGCTTAGCCGTCGAATCTAATTTATCGTTCACATCCTTGTATTGCGGAATCATGATATTAGACCTAATGATGATGATGGTGATGGAGAAGACGATAAATGAGGTTGATATAGAGGGAGGCCCGTGGATTGTACGCGATCGGACCTTTATTCGTATTGCTTTATATATAAGGATTCGGATAACGATGATTGATTCTCTATGGATGGTGTCGAGACATTGTAATTATGCCATTCATGATAATAATATTTCTATTAATGTATATCTTATATTGCTGGAATAATGAATCATGTGACATTTTTTGACATTTTTTACTTCCTACGGAAAGTTCATTTTGAAAAGTAAAAAGTCCGGGCCGGATCCGTTAAAATATATTAGTCCGGGCCCTAATTAAGTGAACATGGAGATTTTTCGGGCTTTCAACTAAAAGTTTTAACCTAAAACAAGATTGGCAGTTTTTTGTTTTCTTCAACCTCCTCTCTTCTTTCTCTCGTTTTTGGGTTTGGTTTTGTTTGTGTTGTGAGAAGCCATAAGAAAACAAGCGGCGAAGCTCAGATTCAAATCCCTGAGAGGTATCTATCATACTCGATTTTGGTTCTCATTGAGGAAATTAGCAACTATTGCAACAAGTAATTTGTGTATAACTCATATGTATTGATTATGTTTAATTTGGAGTTTATCTTTAATTTGGTGTTTATGTCTGAAATTATGAACATATTGTTGTCTCTTTTTTGGTGCTTCTTATGACAGTTTCGAAGGGAATTAAAACATCAATATTCGATGTCTTATAGAGGAAGCCGAGGAAAACCACAAGGTGGTGGTGCCGATTATGGCAAGCCTGAGCCTTTTGTGATTTTCCCTGTAAGTTGTACAAAAAAACTTGTCCTCAAATTTGATCTCCTCAATTGCAGATTCTGTGTTAAGGGTTTTTTTTCTTTCAGGATATAACGTTACCTGATCCGAAATCAATCTCAACAGACTCACAATTAGTTCAAACCTACTTTAGTTTCAATAAGTTTTGGAGAAATTCTCCTTATCATTTAGGCGATGGTGTTTCTAAGAAAGGTATCAACTTTTGTCTTTGTTATCTCTGTGTTTAAATAAAGCTTAAAGCTTCTTTTTTTTTTACAATCATCAGAGAATGAGAGTTTGGACATTGAGAGGTATTCAGACTCGTTGAAGCCCAAGATGAAGTCTAATAAGAATGGAACTTTCTTTGATTTTCTTGTTCTTAGACCTGATAACTTCCCTAAAGAACTTCTTGGTGGTTTGTATTTGTTTCAACACTTTTTTTTTTTTGGGTTTTGATTCATCTTTGATTTGTTGATTATCATTGGATATTATGCGATTTCAGATACTCGAAGAGAACGTCCTGTGAAGAGAGCTAAATGGAGTCAAGAAGCTGGTACAGTGTGTTTATTAGTTTCTTGTTTTTTCAACAATGTATCAAGAAGCTCAAGTTTTTATGATTTTGTTTCACAGATTTGCAGAAATTGGATGTGTTTGAGAAGCTTGAAGCTAAGTTTAAGGTACTAGAGAAACAGTTCAATGGTTTTTTGGAGTACTTCATGGTAACGTTTTTGGATTATGTTTGCCTAGGCTGAAGGCAATGAAGTGAAAGGAGAAGGAGAAGATGATGAAGAAGTTGAGGAATCCGAAGGAGAAGAATCTAATAATGGAGATTATGATCAGGTTTTGCTTGTTTTCTAGATTATTATCATTGAATAGAAGCCTTGTGTGATTCGTCTTCTTCTTCTTCAAGTAACTTAACAACTTTGTTCTTGAATGTTTTGTAGAACCAAGTCTTTGATGATGATGACGACGATTATAATCTGGCGGATGATGGTGAATGTAAGCATTGTCATCTTTATTCTCTATTTCTTTACTAAGATTGTATCCTTAAAACTATTCTAACTTAACTTTGTTTCTCACGTTTCTTGCCAATAGTTGAGGACGTGTATTATACGTGAATGTAAGCTGCTTTCTTTTCCCAAAAGAATCAAGTTTTGCAGACAAGAGAAGCTCAAGGTGAAAGCTCTTAGGTTTTTGTTTCCGTGGTTCTTGCTTTATACTAAATTAGTTGTGAGGGATGTTGTGCTTCAAATCATTTTCTGATTTTTCTTTCATCAAAATCATATCCTCCGTCGTCGACGACTAACTTCATATATAAAACAAGAGTTACATAAATACATTTAATAGTTCCATGATATTCTTACATAAGTTTGAGCTTGAGATCTGGCTTTCCTAGCCAAGTGTATCTCAGCTATTACCTTTGCTTTCTATGTAATACAAGAAGAATATACATAGGTTAAGAGATTGTGATGTTGAATGCTCTCATGATTGCCTTTGAGCTTGCTATCTTGGAGGGAATTGATACAAGGCTATTTGATCTCATTGTATGCAATTAGCATCCCCTTGTTGGATGTGTCTCAATGATCTTGTGTCGTCATAGGTAACACATGATTATGTCAAAACATAGTGATCCAGTAGAGCTTTGGATATAATGGCTGGGATGCTCCATTTCTGGGAAGAGTTGGTGTCAATTGCCATATTTGTAGAAATTTGTGCAGCATCCCCCAAAAGTGTTTTATCTTTGGTTTACGCTTGAAGTTTACAAAGTGTCTCATGAAGAAGATAATTGCAGTAGAAAATTTAGATTCTGCAACATTCTCAAATTTTGCCTTGCCATATTCACTGCTTCAAACTTGTTACCTTATCCCATGATATATAATGGGATTTGTGTTTTTATTTTTTCAGAAGTCAACCAGAATTTTCTATTCTATATCACCTTTATCTCTAAAATGTCAAAATTTTTTCCTTTTGTTATATTTTGTTTCTTGAAATTATTCGGCTAGTTGAAGTGAAAGCATTGGCAAACAATGTGTTCTCGGTTCCTAATTACAATGATATATACATTGAGCACTTGGTAGATATTTGAAGCCAAAGTAATCTAGAGAAAATTAGAGTCTAATCAGAAGTACAAAACAAAAACAAGAAAACAATAAACTTGAAGAAGCAATTCAGCAGAGAGATATTCGAATCTATCCATTGAAGGATATTGGAATTTGAAGGGCGAAAAAGGAGAGAGCTTTTTCACTCACAAAAACTGATTCGAGTTTTGATATAAGCCTCTGTCTGAACCAGAAGGTGTTCCTATATTTCACCTTCTCGTTATTCGGAGGCTATACATAACACATACACATACATAGATTCCCAAATTGATGTCTGAAACTTTTAGTGAAGAAGCTTGATAGGTTAAAAAAACCAGAAGCTTCTCCAGAAAACAAAAAGCCTCAAATCAAAACAATACAGAAAAGTATTGATGATCAAGATTGATATACGCCTCCTAACTAAGCCAATAAATATGAAATTGCCTAATAACTAGGGTTCATAAAGCTACTCAAGGAGGCAGATTTTTTTATCTCAATATCAAGAACAACCAAAAACGATAGAAACAAACAAAGAGGACTAATGAAGAAGATTGTTTACGAAGAGAAGAGTGGCGCAGCCCTTTTTATCCACTCTGTTTTCTAGGGCTCTTAATGGGTTGGTGTTGTGAATTACTATTTTATCCTCTTTCAATAACCGATTGTTTAATTTGGTCTGGTTTTCTAAAACCATGCAATTAATTTGGTCTGGTTTTCTAAAATCTCTTAATCAACATCTTTTTTATTATTATTTATATCATTGTGATGTAATTCACATGTATAATTTAAACATTTTGAATTAAATTTTCTTCAATTTTTTTGTAAATATATTAATATATTTTTGACTCATTTTTTTGGTTAAATTTGACTCACATTCGTTGCAATTTGATTAATATATATATATATATATATATATATATATATATATATATATATATATTTAAAGTACATTTGGAACCAATCTAGGAGTTACTTATTAAATAATGTGTGGTTGATAAAAAAAAAGTTCATTTGGAAAAAAAAACCTTGGCTTTGAAATGTATTTACAATGGAATGAGTAAATGACGTTGGTTTAATTCTTAAGATTTAAAAATTTAATAAAAGATATTAAGGAAACGATTTTGGTCCTAAAATCTCGACTTCCTTACATACAATCGAATTTTTTTTTACGATTTTAGAGATATGTGGTTTGTATTAGTTATTACTATAATCTCGCTTGATTAATCGAATCCCAACAATCTCTTGTAAACTAACTATCTTCACTTACCTAAAAAGATATTTTGGTTACGATTTTGCACATATGTAGTAAATATTTTTATGTGCATACACTTCGTATTTCATATTCCTCCTCCTAATAATCATAAAACCGAATCTATAGAAACAAATAAGTACTCATAATAATGTAATCATCGGATATTTCTAAACAAAAACGATTACATAGATTTGATACCAATTTATACATCCATAAATCGTTACTTACTCAAATGTCTGTTTTCCTATGTAATTTTTTAAAATCAAAACCTAAAAATTGCTCATTGTATACAATATAATATATGGATATAGATGTCTTAAACAATACAGTTAAACCATATTCAAATTTATACATCCATAAATCGTTACTTACTCAAATGTTTGTCTTAAGAAAAATATAAAATTTTAATCGTTTATAACTATAGATAATAATCAAAATTTTAACATTACAATTTTAAAATAACATATAGTCCCACGGGACATATCCTGGTTAAATATATAAAAACACATACTACTATTTTATAAACTAGAATCATTCTACACTTCATATTAGATATATATAAATACACATCAACAATTAAACAATCTATGATTACATGTTTTACAGTTACAACACAACATATATTCCAAATAAAAGCTGAATAATAAAATATAAGTATCTGGAAATACTTATATAATTTACTATATTTATAAATGCTTTGTACATTTGGACTTGATATTTAGAGAAGAAGAGGTTCGTCGGAAAAGTCCGATCTTAGTAGAGAAAGTTTGCTTCGCCGATAAAACTATCGTAGGAGAGGTTTTTTCGTCGAATTAAAAAATAAATAAAAAATTTATAACTTTCCGAGCACATAGAATTTAGTCGCAGAGGTAATGGATCACGAGTTTGACCTAGAATCTAAAAACAAAGAAGAATTCAATTGAGAGAGATCTTTCTAAGTAATTAGTTGATCTTTGTTCGCTATAACTCTGTTACTTAACTAACGCAGACAACGACGGGATTAAACAAGCATGATTAATAAGTTTAATTATGGTTCATAAAGCCTTACAACTCAACTAATATAATGCAGGTTCCAACATGATACTCATCTAGGCTAGTGCAAGCGAGTTTTCAACACTTATGATGTGTAAAACGCCTAGAATCAATCATAAGTTAGTTACTTAAACAATATGCATTAAGAACAAACCTAAAACGAATAACTAAGATAAACAAATCATAGATCTAACAGAAATCTTGTGTCCAAATAAAGAAAAGAAAAAAGATGAACAAATCACAGATCTAACAGATCTAGATAAACGATCACATGAATCTCCTTCGAAACCCTGATGCACAACACATATTCCAAATAAAATCCGAATAATAAAATATAAAATATCTGGAAATACTTATATAATTTACTTTTTCTATACATGCTTTGTACATTTGGATAGAGCTATTTGGAGAATTTAATTTTTCCTAATATTATTTGCTTATAGTTTTATATAAATAAATTGAGATAGTGGATTCCAAAATTCTTATAAATGTTCATGGCGAGTGAGTTTTTTTTTTTTTTTTTTTTTTTTTTTTTTTTTTTTTTTTTTTTTTGTGTGCTAGAGCATTGAGATACAAAAACTCTTTTTTTCAAGGTTGTTCGCTTCTTCGGTTGTATATTATCAACTGAGTTGTTTTAAAGAAAAAAACAAAATCAGCTTTGTTGCTCACTACTTTTTTTTAAGATGTTATTTTAAGTCATATACTCATATGTGTATTGTGGATGCAAAAATCCACCCAAGAATTTGTATAAGATTGAGAATAGAATTAAGGGCTAGATTCTCTATATGAGCCTAAGATATATACAAGATTTGAATCGACCAACTGAACATTGTTCATAGGAAAAATAATACAAAGAGATTTCAAAAGAGTTTGGAATGATAACTGTACTCATGGATCAAGCTACTTACGTATTCGTTTAGAAATCAAGCTTATACGTAGTTTCATTATTATCATCTAGAATGAGATGTTCGTTGGTGATGTATGTATTACAAACTCATATAGAGTGTAAATGGACAGACTTTAAATGATGTCTTAGAGCATTTCAAATTCATCTTTATTTTCATCTCTAAAATAAAGTTTGGAGTAAGATTTTCTCGAACCCATCTCTATTTCCAACTCCAAAATAAAGATTTCCATATTTTTTTTTCATAGTTGTAGATTTCTATTTTAAATTTATACTAAATTTTAGAGACTTCAATTTTTAACTCCAAAATGGAGTATAATTGGAACATAACCCAATTCTAAAATGGTGATACACTATTTTGGAGAAAAATAATACAAAAATACGTTTCTCGTGTGGACTCCTCTTTTATGAGCATATTGATTTCGATCTCCGTAAAATGTCCGTAACTTGCTTCACAAGCCACATAATCTCCGCTAAGGAGTGTTCATGGGCTGAACGTAGAAGATTTCAGACGTGGGCCATAATCAAATTGTTAGTTGTCTAGGAATCTTTGACTTTTGAATGGGCCGGATTGTGCTAAAAATCCTGCTCCAAGTCTCCAACATGTATTAACATATATAATCAATTTATAATTTTTCATATATTAGAACAATATAATAAAAAGACTTGTTCAAATTTTATGTGGGTATTTTAATATAGTTACAGTCATTTTTTTTTGTTAAAAATTGTCTGAAATTCGTTGCAACTAAAATAATATTAGATATATTTAAAACATACTACCATTTGATAAACTAGAAGCATTCTAAACTTAATATATAAATATACATAAATACATATCAACAATAGAACAACCTATATTTACAAGCTGATAGAGTTATAGTTACATACAACAACACATATTTCTAATAATCACTAACTACACATGTATTCCTAATAAACACTGAAAATATATGGAGATACTTATAGAATTTACTT